TTCTTTATTTATTAATGATTTATGTCATGTCCGGCCATCCATACATTTCGAAAAAAAAAACAAACCTTTTTATGCACACTTAAAACAGTGTAAAATTCTTTTTGAAAATACTGGGTGATTGTAGATTGTAATAAGCTTTCTAATTTATCATTTGTAAAGATAGATCGAATGAATAAAAGCATTGCCTAAACAGAACTGATTGAAACTTCGTTTTAAAAGATTTAACAATTTACCACATTTTGTATTTAGAATAAAAAAAGGAAAAGAATAATTGTAAAAATTCATCTGTCATCAGAAAAATATTTGCGCTTCATACAATATTGCCCTTAACATATGTTATTCATAAAAAGCCATTAAAAACTTTTCTAATTAAATAATGTCTTAGTTTTATTGTGTTTTGTATGTTGTAATTCAGAGCTGATTTTTGGTAAAGGGGTATTTCGATTTAAAAACAATCGCTGATTTATATTCTTGTGTTTAACTAATATAATGCATAAAAGAATCAGCGTTGAATTTCTCGAATTATCATAAAATTAATTTGGGGGTAACAGATGTAATAAGAAATATTTTACAATAATTTTCTAAAAGAACACATCTAACGTAATTTAATTCATTTGTGAATAAGTTCTGTATGTTTCATTAAACTCCGACAAGAATTTGCAAGAATTTTCGAAAACAAAAGTGTTTTTAACGCCATAAAAGACGCTAAATTTCATACTAATCTTTGGCGGAACCGCTGACGCAAAAAAATGAAAGAAAGAAAAATAAATAAATAAAATAAAATAAAATAAAAAAAAAATAACAATTTTAGCCCAAATTTCTAACGTGCGAGAAATTATGAACAAATTTAATAAAATAAAAAAAATACTTTGATCTTTCATATTAATAATGACCTAAACATTTTGACGCTAAAACTTTGTTTTCATTAAGTTTGGAGCATTTATCCAACACGATATACTTCTTTTTTTGTGATTTGGTGGAGATAACTGATATATATATATATATATATATATATATATATATATATATATATATATAGATATAGATAGATATAGATAGATAGATAGATAGATAGATATAGATATATAAAGTATCATGTATATAGGTTTGCAGGTGTGTTATTGATTACACATTTATAATTAAATTTGGATAGAGCTAATACTATATCTTTCAGTTAAAGCATTAAATAATGTGTTAAATCCCAAAATAAAGAGCAATTATCTTGAAATAATCTTCTTAGCACGTTGGACGAGTGAACGGAGACACGTTCTTTGCCACCCCTCAATTCTGACCCCACCCTATAATATCCGATATGATCATTTTCCTTCCCGATTTCCTCTCTCGTGAGGTTGTTAGGTGCGAGAATTCGTTTCGAATGAGTCATACACGCAATGAACAACCATGGCCTAGGATATTAAGGAGTAATGAGCCCTGTCTCATTCTCCAGACAGCTACTCTCCACATCTCCGCATTATCAGTCTAAGGGTCAAGGCCGTGTCGGATTCTTGATTTCCCAAAGGAACTAGCCCAATAACACGGATCCAGGAATCAATATTGTAGCGAAAATTGAAATCTTTGTAAAGAGGAACTTTATCTAAAAAGAATTCCGTTTAACCGCTCCTCGAGGCAAGTATTCAGGCGAGCATTTTATCTTTGAAAATAAAAAGGTGAGTCACTATATTGGAGATGATTGTGTAGAAACAGTAATGGTAATAGTAGCCGTTTCACTATAAGGAAACATTTCATATTTATTGACAGAGCAGGTAGTAGTGTTTTCGGTTGAGATTTATGAAATCTTTATCTTAAAACATTTTTTTTTGTCCCCAGGAAAACATATTTTTTAAGTTCAGTAGCTGTAATCGCTCTTTTCAGTACTGTTAGGGGGTTTGCCTTTTAACATTTTATTTGAAGTAGTGTTGAATGTCAAAATCTTGATAATGCCATTATTTTCTCTTCGACTCATGTGTGATATCCGTTGTTCTACTCTCGGTAGTCCTCAAGTGATGTGGTTTCTCTTATTTTATAGAGTTCTTCGTTTGTGATTCTGTAGCGCCAGTCAAAGAAGGACGGTCATTGCCAAGACCCGCAGGCTTCACTTGCTCAAAGCCATTTTAAGCATTGAGCGTCTGTATACAGCAAGGCGTTTAGATATTTCTGAACGGGATTAGTTGATCAGTTTACCCCCCGGCTAAGCACATTCCTAATGCGAGCTACACAGGCGATTTATTTCTCATCAACCCGCGTAGTGATTATACAAGTAGACGCTCTACAATGCATAACGTGCTGGCCAAAGAACTTCGCATTTAAATACACATTGACCTTACTTTCAAACTCTTTCATCATGTCAACAGATGTAGATTTTTTTTTAAAAAAGAGTTTTTTCTTAGTCTATAACTGTTAGAGTGGAACTCACCTATTCTATAGTTAATAGACTCTCCCACCTAATATAAGTAGGAGTAGTAAGAGTAACGAGGAGTCGCTCAGTGGGTCGGTCTGAGTTCAGTCTGAAGTCGGACGACCGGCTGACCGGTTGAGCTCTCTGCCTTCCGGCGGGGAGGAACCCGAACGAAGCTACGCCGAAGGGCGGAGTCTCTTTCGGGGAGGTAAACCGACCCTGAACCCGTTTATACGTGTTTTAAAAAGGGCATATTTTTGGCCGAGCCCACGGAGTAGGAGATACCACGTTAAAGCGGCCTTGTGCCACATGACGCCCTCGTGGGGGTGGGGGGCTGACTGAATATCGTCAGTCGGTCAGTCGATGTCGGACGACAGTTAGTCGAATACGAAAGTATCAGTGACCACAACTACTCTATTATATCTAGTTCCTAACGTTTTGTACGTCGGACCTATTTTAGGACCTATTTAGTACAAATACAAGCCTCCACTGCGAAATCACTCCACAACAATAACGATGTTCTTTATATAGAATTTGAAAACGACCTCAGAAATCTTAATATAGAAAATGTGTTTGTAAAATTTCACATGGCACCATTGACAAGAAAAAACGACTAAAAGAAGTAAAAAAGTATGTGTTGACGATTGCATTACTTATCAATACATAGTTTAAAAATCTTGCCCTTACAAGTTTAATTTTATTAGAAAGTATGGTGATTATCTTGAAGAATTCTATTAAACTCAGGTAGCACTGCGGGCAATCGATGCTTTCAAACTCCAACTGCTATCTACGCGAAAAACCTGACGCCATACAAACAAGCAAACAAACAAAAATATGCCGATTGTTTGGAAAATAAACAAGGAAAAGCTCAGCTTATTCACAAATAATATGCGACGGAAGAATCATACAACGCATTCCATTCTCTTTTTAAGAGATACGGATTCGTTTGCTCCACTCGAGTTGGTTTTCAGCATTTTGTCTGTAGAAATCACAGTTTTGTTGTTGAGTTCATTAAAGAGAAAGCCAGAGGTGGTAGAATTTGATTCTGTTAATGGTGGTGAGAGATATTTCATCGATCTATATTTCCTGTATATTTTTCTGTTCAAAACTGTCTCTTTCTTTCTTTCTTTCTTTCTTTCTTTCTTTCTTTCTTTCTCTCTCTCTCTCTCTCTCTCTCTATATATATATATATATATATATATATATATATATATGTATATATATAAATCAATTATAATTGGGTGGGGGTGAATGATTAAAACTAGGGTTAGAAACCCTTTAATACATTAAAAGACATGTTCTGATAAACATGTTAAAATTCCTGTCAGTGTTGGTTTGTATGTTCTATCTCTCTCTCTCTCTCTCTCTCTCTCTCTCTATCTATCTATCTATCTTCAAGTAACGCAGTAAAAAATGTTTTCCTATCTGCATTTAGAGATGAGTTTTCATCGTTTATTTTATAGTTTGTTTTGGTCTTGGAAAGTAATTATATCTATTTTCGCCCAGATAGAGTTTACAGTTTTTAGAATGATTGTTGTATTCTGGTGTTTTGTTTCGTTTTTAATCTCTCAGATATGTTTTGAAATCATTGTGCTGTTCACGTATTTACTATTTGCAAATGATTTTTGTGAGTGTAGTTTCTTTGTTTCCAGGACCTCTCAGTTATTTCTATGCATATTTTTTCTTCGTTATCTGCTGGTTTTACAGTGACTTGGTATATTACATTGTTCTGCAAGCAATTGCGGTTTAAGGGACATTCGTTCTTTATTCTGCAGTTACACGTGGATTTAATTTGTTAAGGTGGTTTGTTGATTTCTTTCCTGTTGGGATTATTTATTATTTGCGTCATGTTCTCGGTGGAACTGTAGTTGATTTTTTAAATGTGTTTTCGTTGAATATCTACGCACGCAAAAATCGTTTACAAATAGTAAATACGTGAGCAGAACAATAATTTTAAAACATATCTGGGAGATTAAAAAAAAAAACCAAAACAAATCACACCAAAAATATTATGGAAAATAAGGAAAAGAACACCAGAATACAAAAATCAATCCAAAAACTGTAAAAGCTATCTGGGTGAGAATAGATATAATTACTTTCTGAGATCAAAACAAACTACTAAAGAAACGATCAAAACTCATCTCAAAATGCAGATACGAAAACAAATTTTTACTACGTTACTTGAGGATGGATAGATAGATAGATAGATAGATAGAAACGGAATGAAATAAATTGACAGACAGAGAAATGGAATGAAATAGATAGACAGAAACGGAATACATAGATAGATAGATAGATAGATATATAGAAACGGAATTAAATAAATTGACAGACAGAGAAATGGAATGAAATAGACAGAAACGGAATACATAGATAGATAGATAGATAGATAGATAGATAGATAGATAGATAGATAGATAGATAGATAGAAAACACAAACCAACACTGACAGGAATTTTAACATGTTCATCAGACTATGTCTTTTAATGTATTGAAGATTTCTAACTCTAGTTTTAATCATTCATTCCTACCTAATTGGCTCTCTGTGCCGCGCCAGGAAATTTTTCTCCCCGGAATCGATACTTCAAATATACAAATCAACCATATGCTCTTGCATGGAGTATTGCTGCCATATATGATCTGGTGCATCTTCTGTTTACCTCGGAGTTCTTGACATGATCCAGAAGAGGATATGTAATATAATTGGCCCTGATCTGGCATCTCGTCTACAGTCGTTCTTTCACAGACGCGCCGTCGCCTCTCTCTGTCTTTTTTACAAATACTTTCATGGTAATTGCTCCGATGAGCTGCTTTCACTGGTTCCCAGACTCCATGAAATCAAGCGCCCTACGAGGCTGGCAACCCGCTCTCACCCTTTCACTGTAGAAACTTTTATATGTAGCCGTCTCTTCTACTCCAATAGCTTCATACCTCGCACCTCGCACCTCTTGCCTGTGGAACATCCTTCCCTATTACTGTTTCCCTGATAGTTATAATCTCCAACTATTCAAATGTAATGTCAATCGACATCTTCAGTTACATTGATCTATCCACTATCCCTCTCCTCATCCTTTCTTCTATCACTCCTATCTGCTCTCGCTCCAAATCTTCTTCAACGCCTGCATCCTAGTGGCTTCACGCCTTGTTCACCTTTTATATATATATATATATATATATATATATATATATATATATATATATATATATATATACTCTATCGTTCTCTGCCAGTTCATATTCGTTTCAGTTCATATTCCTTCTATTTCAGTATATCCGTTTGGTTTCAATATGTTAAACTTAAATTAATCCACCAGTACTCCGTGTTAGTATCTATCTATCTATCTATCTATCTATCTATCTATCTATCTATTTCTGGGCTCATAATTTGTAAGATTCATGTACTAAAATGCAAATCATTAACATGGAATATTCATTTATGGCAACCCACAAAAAAGATACGAGAAATGACATTAGGAGCCTTAGACCCCGATGCGTCTCACAAGGCCATTTCTCGGAAATCGGAAATTTACTGAACGGCGTATTGGAAATAACAAACGGATTTCTTTGTGTTCATCTCGTAAATTTATCTCAAGCCGATATTATTTCTGTCGTTCGCGTATTCTTTGCCCTTTGAGGCCAAAAAATATGGTTCTATGCGATAGATAAACAACAGAACAGTAAAGTCTTAATAAAATATATTTTTTAGTTGACAAAAAGTGATTACATACATCAATTGCAAAGAGATATATCATATACTCGTGTATATGTAAAACAAATAAATAAAAGACGTCGAATTTATTGTTTCGAGGCAGAAATCAGTCATTTTTTATGGAAAATGAAAGATGCTATTGCGCTAAAAATTATTACTTACTTCTTATTTATGTGTCGTGTTCCTCCAGTGCGTAGTCGATCATGGATCTCCACAATTTCCTATCCTTTGTAGCATTTAATATCTTTTGTCTTTTTGATATCTCTCCTAAACCTTTCTCCGCCATCCATTTACGCAAGCTCGCTAGGTAGGTTATGCGTTGTTTCCCTGTATGCCTCTTGACGTCAATCTGTCTTGTAAGTATACAATCTTCCAAGCCTCCTTACTTCAATATGAATTGTCTCTTCTCTTCCTGATGTTATGTATATGTCCTTATTGGTTCCATTTTCTTTAAAACTTCATCGTTGATTACATGTTCGGTCTATGGTATTCTCAGTATCCTTCTGTAGAACCACATTTCTGTTGCTTCAATCTCTTCTTAATCTTTCAGACGATTGTCGAGCATTCACTGTGTTCGTATCTATCTATCACACGGTCTTCATATCTATCTATCTATCTATCTATCTATCTATCTATCTATCTATCTAAGAGGTGAGATATCGAGTAACAGTTCGGTACGCGTTTTTCTTTTTTTTGTTTCTAAAGATATTTTTTTCTGTTGCTTAATACTTTGCTTAGCTTTTGGAAAGCATCTTTGGCTATTCCATTGCGCCTGCGGATATCGGTGTCACACTTTCCGTCCTCTGTTGAAACACTTCTTTATAAAAGAAGTAAAAACTATTGAAGAAACAACAGTTATGAAAAATAAATGTTAGAGGAATGAAAAGGAAGGAGACAGAGAAGAGATGGTAAGATTGGCGTTAAAAAGAATTTACATTAGGCGTGTGCAAATATCGTTAAATAATAGTCTAGCAGACTATTATATTTTAAAGAATTGCATTTCCTCTGACTCCCTCATTTTGACCTTTGAGGTCAGATACAGGAAAGCAAAAGAAGTTCTTTTGAAACGTGGGAATGTTAGTGTTATAAAGTGTTTTCGAGGAGTTAAGTTTTACACGTCGAAGAGATCAGACGTGGTTATTTTGTGTCTCGGGGATCTTACTCCCTAATGGGGGTGATAGAGCGACGCCACTGGCTAGTTAGAACTGTACACGGCGGTGCTGTTTAATAAAATAGATGTTTAAAATCACCTTTCTTGAAGTTCTCATTTTAATTCCGAACCAAAAACTAGCGATCACCCGGCCGAGAGAAGACAGAGAGGAAGACAACTTTATTATGATCGTCACAAGACTGTCGCCCAAGAGAACCCCAGAAGAAAGTGGCAATACAACTATATTTCTAGCGAATGTATAATCCTTAACTGCGTATAGAGCAACATTTCTTTTATGTCCCCGCAGGATGAAGGCGATCATGTCTCTCGCCAGATTTTTTTTTATCATCTGTCTATTGCTATTTCACAGTGGGAAAGCTAAAGGAGTAATTTTGAGTGGCTTTCTTTAAGCTTATGAATATAGAGTTCAAGGATTCAGTGCTTTCCTTTACTTAAATCGCTAATAACATAGAGCTAGAGAGTCAAGACCACTCTCCCATTTAATACACAGCTGGAGAGAAGACATGAATTCATCCCGTTTTCAAATCAAAAGGTATTTGTGTGAAAGTGATCGCAAATAATTTGCCCGAAATTTGAAGAACACGGCTCGCCGATTCAGTTTTCTACGCCAATATCCTTTAGGCTACACGCATATCCATTCAGATTCTCATTCTTTCAAAAACAGAACAGTAGTAAATCTTGCATGAGTTTATATATATATATATATATATATATATATATATATATATATATATATATATATATATATGTGTGTAATGTGTCTATGTCTATGTAACAGATTTATCATATCTTTACTTTTAGCAGATGTTTAATTCTAAAGTCTTTTCTTGCATTAAATCTTAGAATTGTCCAAGGAATTGAATTGGGTGTCTTATTTACTTTCCTCCCTTCTCATCTTAATGTTTATTTTTTTCAACTGGAAACCAATATAAAACAACCCCCTCACTCCACACACACAGACAGACACACACACACACACACACAGACACAGACACACACACACACACACACATATATATATATATATATATATATTTATATATATGCCCTATCATATTTTTTTCAATAAAAAATACATTAATTCCTGACTGCTGACAGAACTTTATACTCATGCCAATGTATTTATACAGTTTTTTTTTTTAAATATTCCACCCTAAGCAAAACAATTAAACCACTCAGACGCAAGTTGTTACTGGGTGAGCACGAATACAAGAAAAAGTTAAAAAAAAAAACATTATTAAGGATGTGAAAAAAAAAATAAACAGAAATTAAGAAGACAGAAGATAACGATTAACATTGCATTAACATTTTTGAAGATTAAACTTGACTGGAAAGTAAAAATCCAGAAGAGAGTTTCCAAGCGAGAAGTGCGACAAAAGAAACAGAGAGCATAGAACTTTTGGTTAGATTTAGACATTTTTTACTTTAAAATGATGACACGTTTTTAACAATCTATTTCTGCACTTAAATTCATGTTTAGGCATCATAGAGGAAAGTTCGTGAGAACAATTATCATTTTTATTTTTCATAGCTTTTCCTTGATTGGATATGATTGAGAGGCAGCGGAGGTTTAAAATCAGGGTTTTTCTTCCCCTGGATGAACTGCATTCCTAGGCTGTCGAGCTCCATCTACCCGATGCTGCTGGTTATGAGGTGCCAGTCTTCTGCCTTTGCCCACTCTCCTTGGAGCTGGACGCATGCCACAGAAGCATTTTATAAACAATGAAAGTTTGTTCCTACTACTACGCCTAGGCTATGAAAACATTTAGAACATATATATATCTATTTAAAATCATTTTAATGTTTATACATTCTTTTTATAGATAAAAATAAATGCTCTGTTTATAATAAACAGTATTAACGATATTTACCGGCCGAATGTCCGAGAAATTTTCACATAAAATATTCGTCCTCCGACAGGAATCGAACCTGTATCCTATACGGAACCGTCATATAGCCTTACGTGCTTTCACCAATTTAGCCACAGAGGGGCGTTTCGGTTAGCAAGGTCGATTTTACTGCTTTTAAACTACAATTCTCCTTGATTTTCTCTCATACATTCATATCTGCTCGATGCGTATCCAAATGTAAAAAAATGACGTCGCACATTATGAAAATTTCTCGGACATGCAGGCCGGTAAATGTCGTTAATACTATTTATTATAAACGGAGCATTTACTTAAATATCTGTGTCTATAAAAAGAACGTATAAACATAAAAAATGTATTAATTGTCGGAATTTGTCCATTGCATAATGGAACAAATCGAACATTATATATATTATGCGTTTTAGAAAAATTAACGGTTTTTAAATATATAATAAAACTCTAGGTAAACAAAACCACTAGAAAGCAAGACAAATTACAAAATAGCATATAAATAAATACACACAAATATCGAAAACTGTTAATGTTATAAAAAGATTGCAGAAACAAATAAAATGAAAATATAAATCAAGGTTCAAGCCTAAAAAACTCGGAGTAATGAAGTCATTATTTATCATGCAATAGAATAATTTATACTGCCTTTTTGACAGTACTGTCACTTTAATTATCAACTGATAAAAATGAAAGAGAGTAGAAAATGTAGATTTGATAAATATACATAAGCTGATAAATAAATGTAAATAAAAACAGAAAGTAAAAATAAGACAAACGATCTTCAGGTCATTTATACAAATACAAAATAAATACTAATACAGGAAAACCTTATAACAGTGGAAAAAGTGGAAAGAACTAAAAATAAACAATACAAATAATATATATTAAAATAAATATATCATAATATAATAATATAAATATAACATTATAACCGTAATATATAATATAAATAAATTATAATATAAATAAATTATAATCATAATAAATTATAATCTTAATAAATTATAATCATAATCATAATAAATTGTAATCGTAATATATAATATAAATATAATAATCATAAAATATATAATAACTGCAATAATATAAATAATAATAAAAATAACATTAAATAAATATTTAAAATGTATTTCTAAAAGTTTATGCATTTTTTATACACTATCATTCTATAAATAAAATAAAATTTTCCAGACCACTGCTTATCATCTTGCCCTATTTTCAATGATAAAAAATTGCATTTCAAATTCTATAAGACAATCATATAATTCTGTATTAGCTTAACTTGACAACGCAAGGGGTGATTTAGGAATCTTTACTATAATTGCATCATTCTAGAGGGTTCTCCGGTTATGTAATAAGGCCCTTCAGATTACCCGCAACTGCCAAGACAAAGTTTTAGAAAATGCTTAACAATACAGTGTTTAATCTCTGTCAATATTCACAGCGTTAAAAACAAACAAACAAACAAAAAAACTATTTTATAGGGGCATAGATTTTAATCAAGGAAATGATAAAGTAGTAGGGGAAATCAGTGGGAAGGGAGACGAATAGCCGAAACCGCTGCTTCCATTTCAAATACGGTCGGCGCTATTTGTGGACGGGCGTGTAGCGTAATGGAAATCGACGCAAACATGTGGGATTGGTGTGCTGAGTTAAAAATGTTGCGGCCGTGTTCACAAAAATAGTCTTGAATGAACCAATCGTTTATTGTCCCATTCAAGTTACGGGTCAAATAACAAGTCTATCTAGGTCTTGCTTGACAACCAGCCTATGAGAAGCAAAACAGGGAATTCAAAACTGTTTAGGGTGGCGCTAGAAGCTTCAACCTGTAAAACCCACATTGCGATGAAAACGAGAACAGCAACACCTACTGTAGAGAGGCTGTGGCTTTATGCTGCACAGGGGGGGGTCTACACGGCACAAACAACAGTGACAATATATCGTTTTCACAAATGATTCTATATTTTCTCATGTGTTGCATTTCAAAACCAATGAAAAACTAGATGTAATAAACAATCAATACTTTAGAAGGTGGTAAGATCATGACTATTCACAACTTCCTATTTTTTGTTAGATCTAAGATTTTGCTACCACATCTAGTCCCTATGCTATCAACAAGATGTATATGTAGATTATTCGCAGTCTTCTCTCTCTTACCTCATTATATGCCCCCAGTTACTTGCCACGCGTGATACACGCTTAGGCGATCATGTATCTTTCGATACATGACTGACTAGGTAGATTTTTTTTCCGCAGTAGGTTGCCATTTCTTTCTGGGGTAGACCAGCTGTCATCTAAGACTATAGAACCCGGTATGTCCTGCTATTTACCCATAGAAGAGGAAGATTCATACCTTTCCTAAGGGTATTAGCACGTAAGTGAATATAATGGATTCGACTGGAATTCGAACTCGGCTCTCCGATTCCTCCACCCGAGCCACTATCCATTACACCTACGTGTACCCTATTATTTGCCTTAGAAATTTCAATTGACTTCTCCTGATTCTAAGTATGAGTGTACTTTCTCTTAAAACTTCCTTGTTACTCACATGTTCAGTCCATGGAATTCTTCTGTAGAACTACATTTCTGTTGCCTCAGGTCTCTTCTACATCTTTGAGGAGATTTCCAGCATTGATTGCCATATAGGAGGACTCACTCACTTCAGCACTCTTTTTCTTTGTTTCTAAGGAACTTTTCCTCTTTGTTAATATTTAGCTGTTGGAATGCATGTTTACCATTGTGACGTCGCCCCTCCTTGGTCGCAGCGTCGACTCTGTCGTTCGATCTCGTTTGCGGCTCCAACTGTGACGTGACGTGATATGGCCGCCCAAGGATCGATCCTTGTCACGGACAGCACCAGTTGTGACGTTTTTTTGCCGCGGCGTCAGCTGTTCGCTCCTCGCTGCTCCAAGTGTGACGTTCCAACCCTCTGGTTAGATGATTACCAGCCTCGCCGTTCCCAACTCGCTTCCAACACCTGGTTACTAGGGTAACTGTACTGATCTCCGGTCTGCCTACCCACGTTGTGATTAGATCTTAGACAGACGGGATCAAACAGGAGTCGGGGCCGTATGCCAGCTGGGTTCAACGGGGTGGCAACACACAAGTGAAAGAAAAAACTCACGAGGCAAAAAAAAATTACTGATAAGAAAGGGTAACAACCTTTTATATCTAATGTTCGTTACATAAAAAATTATTCTTACTTCCCGACCCGTTTTGTGGACTGTGGCACCAAGCTTCTATCATACAATTTAAAGACTTCGAGTTGCCTACTCTCTAGAATTTTGTATGTCGGAGTGTGGTTTGGTTTCGACACTGGGCGCTAATCTCTACCAGTCGTTCACGGCTGATTCTTCTCTTCGGCTTGAGTTGGACGAGCTTATTCGCTTCGGCTTGAGTTGGATGTATTTCTTCACTTCGATTTGGGTTGGACGAATTTCCACCCTCAGGCTTGGCCTGGTTTCAACTTCTTCTAGACGCAACTGCAAGTAACTTCTTCTTCTTCCGTCCTGCAACTCTTCTCGCCAAGGTCCGAACTCTTCTCTCTGCCGTCTGAGGTGATCTCTTCTCTCTGCCTTCCGGGGCTGAACTGTTCTGCTTGTTTGGTCTGCAACTTTACTGCCTGTCTGGCCTGCAATTCTTCTGTTTGTCTGGCCTGCAGCTCTTCTGCTTGTCTGGCCTGCAGCTCTTCTGCCTATCTGGCCTGCAATTCTTCGGCCTGTCTGGCCTGCAATTCTGCTCCAACTTCTCTGCGGCTTTCGAGCAATTTTCTTCTCTTCGACTTGGCTGCAACTTCTCTGCCTGTCCGGGCCAAACGGACCGACCCTTCTTGCCCGCAAGGGGCGAATGAACAGGGCCCGCCGTCCGCTCGCCAACTGCTCTGGCCGTCTACCCCGCAACTCTGTGTTTTCTGTCGATTGGGGTCCTGCTTTTATTGACGCCGCAACAAACCGGGGTGGGTCTGTCGGCGTCAGGGTTTTCTTGATAATTCCAAAAGTCGCATTAGTTCTGATTTCCCATTATCGCTCTTATTTTCACCCCTACTTCCTCACAGTGCCTCTGGTGGGAGGCGCATACCCATCTCTCCCGGTCTCTCGTATGTCAGGTGACCGTTTTCGACCAATGGGTCCTGGTCGAGCGTCCTTTCTCCTCTTTCTCGCATATCACGTGACCGCTTTCGGCTAATGAGATTCTGGTTGGGCGTCTCCCGTCCTTCGTGACGTCTCCAATCGGGCGTGGTCTATCCCGGCTTTGTTCTGGGAAAGAACCACCTTGCTAAAAAAAAACAAAATCCAATTTGGCCTTTTTTGCACGCACAAAAATGACAATCTCGGCCTTTCTCACCTTTTGCTTTTTGTCAAAACAGCCCGCCGCTTATTAGATGTGACTTCAGGAAGAATTTTTCTCGTCTCGCTGGCGCTTTCTGTGAGCCAAAACAATTGTTTTCATTCCTTTATTTTCGTTCAGGCCTGACAGTCAAAATCTTAATTATCTGAATTTGAAAATATCTTCACTTCATCATCGTGGGGCTTCTAATCTTCAACAGGTCAGGATCTGTATACAATTCCAGCGGTCACCTTCTCATTCCAAAGACACCCCTTTTCGATTAATATTTCGTTTTCCATTGTTCTAAAAATCCCATTTCTCCAAATTGATAATGAGCTTCTACATTCCGTGGACACAAAAGTAGGCCAGATGTTTTGACCGATATTTTTATCAATCGTACGTATGTTCATCCACTTTTACCATGTCCGTTCATTATCTCTAAACTTATTCGTTCAAATAACAATTTCCATTGTTCTTGAAATTCGGTCAGGCGCGTTGGCCTAGATATCTCTTGACACCTGTTTTCGCTTATGACTGGCTTTTGCATTACCCATCTCTCCCTCTCTTTTCCTTTCTTTTCCTCTTTCTTTTTCCCTTCTTCTTCCCTTAGGGTCGCCTAAAGACAATTAGAGAATTATTCTCAAAACTCAATTATTCTTCGTCTAAATAACTAACAACTGGTTAATAAACCGAATAAAAATTAAATCATATTTCTAGGAATATTTCTTTTTAGTTTTTCTAATAATGCAGGGTGCCACACCATGCGCTTTCAGACTTTTCTTTGATATTTAAATTTTTTGTTCTTGTTTGATTCCTACGATACCCTTTCTAGTTCACATCTCGGGCTCTTCCTTTTGCTGACAATCATATCTTCTGCCTTTTTACAATTATCGTTTAATTATGACGTCTCACTTTCTTTAACTATCTTGTATTTCTTATATTTTCCTTACCGCGTCTGATATCAACACCGTGTCATTGTGCATGTGTTATGTCGTTGTCGACTACGCTTTTATTTTATAAGAGATTTAAACTCAGTGTTTCTATGATCGCATACAAATAGTCTACCATGAGAACTGTATTTCGTTTGCAATGGTGGATGGTTTTGTTTAGCGGCATATCAACCTCTATGAGTTATAAATATTTTGTACGTAATTTTATTTTATTTTTATTTATTTATTTTAGATAAAAATGGTTTTAGCGATACAAGACTTACTAGTTAATCAATAGCTGGTGAGGAGAAAATGTGGATTCATGCCTTTCCCAAGGCTATTTGCACGTAAGTGAATATAACGAAACCAACGGGAATTGGAACCCGGCTATCCGATTAACAATTCAGTCATTATCCATTACACCATCCGCACATCCAAGCTTACAGCAACTGGTATTCCCAAGTTGTCACACATATTGACCAAGCTCTACGTTGTTTAAGGACTCTTTAGTGTTGATATTTGGTTTTGGTAGAGTGGAAAGTAAACATCTTGATTTCGTCTGTCTATATCTCTGAGATGAAGTATTATGATTGATTACATTATTTACATTATTCGAACTGTTATCCTCATCTTCATTGCCATATTCACAACGTTTCGGACATTGTATCTTCCAGCCTTCTTCAGGTGACGGAAATTTCGAACCAAACCCTATATTTCGTCTACCCGCCCAGTGGATAAAGATGTTGGTTAGATCCAGTGACTAGACCCCAAAAGTTGTGAGTTCAATACGATTATGAGTCAAAATCTTGGAGAGTTGTGTTAAAGGGATATAACAGAAACATCTGAAAGAGGCATGGCACAAGGAATTAAAGCGATCAAACACGGTAGACGAAATAAAGAGTTCGGTACGAAATTCCAAGGATAACAGTCCAAATAATGTAAATAATCTTGATTTTATCATTATTTTTTCCATCTTGTTACATGACTTACCTGTTTTTATTGTTTTTTCTGTTGAAAATTTTCATTTGATGTGCTTTTCTTTACTTGCTAAAGTTCTTGTGATTAAATTAAAGTAATTCTGTAGCGCCAGTCTGCAAGATTCGATGAAGTATTGTATTTTTTAAGGCCTCAGGCAAATATTCAGAAAACAATGAAAAAATCAGTGTCTAATTTACCGTCAATAACACACTTTTATTGTAGTTCTCGAGTATTCATTCGTTTGCGGCCATTTTTAATAATTTATCTGAGAAAACAGTTTTATACATCCGAGAGTTTAGATATTTCTTAACGGGGTGGGCTCCATGGCTAACATCGATGTGGCATATTGCAAATTGTTGCCAAGAACGTTTTATAACTTTTTATTATTTGCATCACCCGGGTCATTTTTGCAATTGTATATACCATTTCAAGGAACAACATGACATATGAAATTAGTCTATAAATCATCAGCATAAAATGGCCTCATACAAAATGATCGTAATATATACATTTTATAATAGGAAATTACAATAGTAGATCATGTCTGAAAAAAAAAGAAAAGAACTATAATCTCTTCCGCCCCTAGAATAAAATCACTAAAACTTACAAAGCACTCTACTGGAAAGTACAGAAATTAAAAGTGTCTTCATACATAACATTACATTAAAAAAATCTTATTTGTAAGTTGGACATGAAAACTACTACTAAATAAAATTCTGTAATTAGAAAAATCCCATTTACACTTACAAACAAATATAAAGAAAAATAAGAAGCAATATTTACAATGTTTTTGTATGAAATTTCGAAATTCAATACAGCTAATAGGCTAGATACCGGAAAAAATTCCACTTAAGGAATAAACCATCCAAAATTTTGTGGAAGAAAAGAAAATAAAACAATGGAGAAGAAGACAGTACCCAAAAAATCTTAGATGCGATATGTAAAAATAGAAAAAAATATTTCTTACCAAAAATAGGTCATATAAAGTATGTTCCAATAATTTGAACCAATTTTAACTGTCAATTAAGTTTTAACGTCCAATGATTTTTTTTCTTTTTCTTCCAAATTTGGCAGACATTTTGGCGATATTATTTTTCACACATAATTGCCATGACTTAAATAACATGATTCAATAGAGAAATAAATAAATTTTCACCAATAACACTAATTTATTTTCTGATGACTTTGATCCGTTTTAATGAAACACCCTTATATATAATCCATCTTAATGAAACAGCCTTTATATTTATAAACGTGGTGGGCTCCATGGCTGAAATCGCTGTGCTATATTGCAAATTGTGGCCAAGAACGTTTTGTATATCTTTTATTATTTGCTTCACCCAGGTACTTTTTGTAATTGTATATATCATTTCAAGGAACAACATGAACTATAGCATATAGGGTCACAGATTTTAAAGGATGCAAATAAATAAATAAAAAGAAAAAAAATAGGATAAACCATTAAGTAATTTCTGCCATTCTCTTTGAAAATTCCTTTTTCATGTCCGATAGCATTGAACGTGAAACAAACCAAGCGAAAAAAAAGGAAAAAAGAAAATGGCAAGTGATGTTTGTGGAAAATTCCGTAACAGATTGGTTGGCTGGATCATATCCGCGTGCTCCACCCTCTCGCCCAGATTCACCATTCGTATCTCGCTTCTCAATACCGGAAGCACACCGAAGACAGCAAATTCCCACGCATGCGCATGGTCAGAGGTATGTTAGGTAGCAGGCGAGAGAAAGAACGCTTCTTTCCGATCAGACAATATAAGGCTGAATCAGTCACGGGAATGTTATTGGAGAAAAGCTTCAACGAAGAGGATAAAGGAGGAGTTAGGTTCAGAATCAGGATCAAGAAAAATCCCGATTGGTAACTAGGGAGATGATAAGGAGGAGGGTCACACTGTAATATATTCCTTCTGTTCTGAGTATTTTGACTGTTACCAGGGCGTTGGACAAATGATTGTTACCTCCCTTTGACAGTTTCATTTTGTTCCCTTTTAAAACTCGATTGGTATCTAAGCAATCCCTCCTCAACTGTCGAAGATATGCGTTTCAGCCAATGGGAAATCATTTCTTATGCGTCTTTACTAATCATTTATGAGTTTGTCCTCATTTTAATTTAATTAGTTTATTTTGCAGTTGCCTTTCGATTATTTTATTTTTTAGTACATTTTTACATATATTATTTTATTGTTTATTTGACTAATTATCTTAGTTTCAGTACAGATTTAACACATAGTTAGGAGGGATGAAGAGATGTATTAATATCTTTCATACTTTTCCCAGATATGTATATATATATATATACATATATATATATATATATATATATATATATATATATATATATATATATATATATATATATATATATATATATATATATATATATATATAGATTGATATATATATATATATATATATATATATATATATATATATATATATATATATATATATGTATGTATGTGTGTATACGTGTATGGAATATTTTTAAATGGAAGTACTTGGGTCATTCTAATGGTATTTTAAAATTACTCTTTTTAATATTTAATATCATTTTCTCTTTTAATGTTCTATAATTAGAATTTTGAGAGTGTATTTTTATCTTCTGAAGGGAGTTTCATTTTAAAATTGATAATTTAAATTCAAATATACCACTCTTTAACTATTAATAGTAATAATAATATTAACGAAATTCCTTTAATAATGAGGCACTTCAGAAGTCACCTAAAGTTAAACTTTAACTATAAAATCAAACTAAAATCTAAATAAATTTCAAATACTAAAATATAGGTAATGATTGGGAAATGTATGTATATATAATTTATGTAACAAGATAGATGAACATTTGTGTATATTGTTACACGTGTGTCTATGTGTGTATTTGCACATGAAAATAAACGTATGTATATATGGATTTGCATGAATATGTTTTTGAGATACATATAGGAAGAAAACAAAACCTTTAATATTACCCTCAAATATTATTAAATAATTAAACCTAAACCTTAATTAAGTTTACCCATATAATAATAAAGAAAAATTGCATTCATAAATTAGATTAAAAGTAAAACTAATATAGATGTTATTGTTACCGAAATTTTTTTACAATATTATGGAAGTACAATTGGTCGGGTAAATAAACTATTATAATCTTAAATATTTCTTTAATATGGTCTCGATAAATGTGCTAATAAAAATAGTAGTTAACATATATTAAGTCCCTAAACTATTTACTTAAAAAATTAAATGTTTAAATTGATAACATTCATCATTTTTTAGACATCTAAATTTCTATCAAGCATTGAAATCTATCTTTTACATAATTTTGTTAAAACAAAATTACAGCCTCTTTTGATTCACTTCCCTCTCCCCCTCTCTCTTTGCCGTAACACTCATTTGGATATATCTGTATTACTCTTGTCTGTCTCCTCTCTCTTTTCCATTTTTCCTTTTCTTTTCTCCCCACTCCCCTCCCATTACTATATATCATTTCCGTTAAGTTAACCATCTAAATAGGTCATGTTTCGGTCACTCCTCCTACCCCAATATAAAGCATGCTTAAGAGAAATATGAAATTTACCCCTCTCTATAATCTACTTTGTCTCGTTAACTACAACTATCACTCTCCCTTTTAAATTACAAAAATTACACTACCCATCAATTACTAATCACATTTTTCCTTTTATTTCGTTGTTGGAAGTGTTACCTGATGATCCGGAGTCCTTTAAAAATGATTTTGGTGAAATAAATTATTGTAATGGTACCTTAAAGTGGTCTGTTTTTCCTATATATATATATATATATATATATATATATATATATATATATATATATATATCCGAAAAAGAGGTTTCGTCTAGGGATAATAGGGGTGCATTTTTCAACTAATTTTGACATCAACGCACCCCTACCATTCATAGAATTGACCTCTTTTTCGAACGTAAATCATAATTGATACAATAATAGTTAATAGCAATGAACACGCTGCCGCCCCTTTCTAAATGATTGGATTTCTCTGTATCCTTGGAAACAATAAATTATGAATTTTATGTGGGTTTAAAACTCAGTAATATATATATATATATAAACATATATGCAGATCGGAAATTACCTGTTTAATCTTAGTAATAAGAAAGAAGAGTGAGTTTTAAGTTTAATTACAAGAAAAAAAATGATATTAAGAAAAAGAAAATGTTGCATAAAATAATTGATTTGTCAGCGTAATATATATGCAGGCATTGAATTTGGGGACTTTTAATTGTTGGTAAATAAAATTTCGTTTTGTTTTTGCATTTTTAAAATTTCGAATAAACTTTATCATAAGTCTTAGTTTAACCTATCTACAGTAAATATAAAAGATAATTTGGACAATTCAGCGTAGTCTTGTGCATAGCCAGCTTGTCTAGCTTGATCAATTAAGACTGAGTATTGAGATGGATCGTCATTAGGGACCTATATTCATAGCGTTGTGCCACAACATATCTATGATTAGTACATCAATATAATACAATTCGGAAAAACTTTACTTTTCGAAACTTCACTGACCAAAGAGCGTTATCCAAAAAAAAATAAAAGGACTTTGTTTCAACCAATTCTACATAAGAAAGACAGAAACAGGAATCACGCTTGTCCTATGTTTTTTACTTTAACTGTATCGCATTTTATAGCAAATTTTACGTATATCACGCAGAGCTTTTATTTATATAGTCATTTTTTAAGATTTGTCAGCCCACATCACCCGCTTTGTGTCGCTGAAGTAGATTACGTTGAAATAAAATCCACTATCCACATGATACTCGTTGATCAGTGGAATATGCTTAAGAAAGAGTCGTATGTTTAACATTCCGGCAGAACCTCAGATAAATTTAAATCTATCTATCTATCTATCTATCTATCTATCTATCTATCTATCTATCGATCTATCTCAATCTGTTTCTATCTATCTATCTATCTATCTATCTATCTATCTATCTATCTATCTATCTATCTGTCTATCACAATCTGTTCGTATCTATCTATCTATCTATCTATCTATCTATCTATCTATCTATCTATCACAATCTGTTCGTATCTATCTATCTATCTATCTATCTATCTATCTATCTATCACAATCTGTTTCTATCTATCTATCTATCTATCTATCTATCTATCTATCTATCTCATTCTGATCGTATCTATCCATCTATCTATCTCATCTATCTGATCTATCTCATCTCTGATCGTATCTATCTATCCATCTATCTATCTATCTATCTATCTATCTATCTATCTACACAATCTATCTATCTATCTATCTATCTATCTATCTATCTATCCATCTATCTATCTCACTCTGATCGTATCTATCTATCTATCTATCTATCTATCTATCTATCTATCTATCTATCTATCCATCCATCTCATTCTGATCGTATCTATCTATCTATCTATCTATCTATCTATCTATCTCACTCTGATCGTATCTATCTATCTATCTATCTATCTATCTATCTATCTATCTACCAACAATCTATCTATCTATCTATCTATCTATCTATCTATCTATCTATCTATCTATCTATCTCACTCTGATCGTATCTATCTATCTATCTATCTATCTATCTATCTATCTATCTATCTCAATTTGTCCATATATATTTTTGTATCTTTCGGAATCAATTCATATCTATATATATGTCTTTCTATCTATCTATTAGAATATATTTTCTTCATATCTATCTATCTATCTATCTATCTATCTATCTATCTATCTATCTATCTACATCTATTTCAGATTATTCTATTGCTTCTAACTTGCTTATTTTCTCCTATTTCTTCCTCTCCCTGTTTGATATATATATATATATATATATATATATATATATATATATATATATATTGCTACATGGTACATTATGTTATTAAATATGCATGCGTGTGTACTAATCATAAATACACTTAACTGTGGCAGAAAGTCTCGACCAATGTTCTAAAGATCTATTCTGTTTCAATGCCGGTCAGTATCAGCGTCTACTAATATGACTTGTCATTAATTATGTAACGGACAGACATTAAAACTGACCAAAAGGCGACAGTATCTGACGAAAATTGTGAGCCTTTTTAAATTAGATAGTCAGTCACTTCAGTTCATGACTGGTCATTTGCTTTTGTGTCATCCAACCCTGTACGCACACAAACACACACACACACCTACGCGCATATATATATATATATATATATATATATATATATATATATATATATACGCACATGGGATTTCTTACGCGATGTTACCCACGAATGCCCCTTAGCTAAATGTATCAAATAAACTTTTCTTGCTGCTGTTCTGCCGCCAATCGTCTAGGCGATCAGGCTTTTTCCACTGACACAACATTCTAATAAACAGACAAGAGAATAAATGAAGGATTGTTCTACAGGCTGCCCAGTAAAAAAGCGGTAAATTCAGGAATACATTTATTTAGCTATCATGATTGATGCACGAACTTAACAATCATCGTAGATGTTCAAAATGTCTGCCTGAATGTTCAATACAAAGTTGTAAACGTGGTAACCAGGAGGCAGTAGCCTTGTGAATAGTGCGAAGAGGATTTTCCTTCCAAGATTCGGTTAAGTTCCACTTCACTGAATCAATATTAACGATGTCACGACGACGGTTTTGCAAGTGAGTCAGGAGTATACAGATATATTAATCCATAACATTCAGATCTGGTCTTTTAGATGGCCACGGAGATGGACCAATTAGAGCTGGTGTATTTTCTCGAAGAATAAATTTGAGCTTTTTACTGTGTACCTTGTAGTTGAATAAAATTCTTAGATGTCAATGTAATGCGATGCATGTTCAGGTTTTCCGTGTGGAACTTCAGGCTGATTTCAATCATCTGAGCGTCAATGAATTGATTCGAGCAATCCTGAATGATGGGGAGATCACAATATTTTTTCATTTCTCATAGTGCTCTGTCTGTAATTGGCCGCCCTGAACGCTTAAATCTCACCAGTTTTTCGTGCGTTTTCATTGGTTTCGCTTGATGAATGTACGCCAATGAGTAGACAATAAAATATTTAATTCCATCACAGAAGGTTGAGTATAAAGTGAAAAAAAAAAGAAGACAAAGAAGAAGATGAATAATAATAATAATAATACAGTGTAACCCGGATATAAGAGACCCGGATATAAGAGAAACCCGGATATAAGAGAGATTTTCTCTGGTCCCAAAGTAGAGCCTGTGTTAATGTATATAAAATAAACCAAACCCGGATATAAGAGAAACCCAGATATAAGAGACTTCTTATCCGGTCCCGACAACTCTCTTATATCCGGGTTACACTGTAATAATTAGAAGAAGAAGAAGAAGAAGAAGAAGAAGAAGAAGAAAAGAAGAAGAAGAAACATAAAATTAATAATAGAATTATTCTTGATTTATTACTGGTTTATTTTTCAGTCGAATTTTCTTCATCGACTCTCCTGTTTTGATCAGAGCAAAATATTTACAAATTCTGCCATTGCAGGTGATGTTATCTTTTCTCACTACTCGTGTGACGTCATCTCCAACCACTTCTTATTTAAATACATCGTGCTAGGAAAACGCCACATTGATACTAAACAAGCAGCCACCAGAAACGCAGGTCGTTCGATGCAGATATCAAATACAACAAACATGGGTGTTGAAGCTTCAAGTAGTCTGAAACTATTTACTACATGTTACGACCATAATCTCATTGATATACGAGGAGTTACTTAAATATTTTCGACGTGGAGCTTTTTTTTTTATTTTAAAGCAAAAAACATTTTTAATCGTCATGAATAAATGAAAGCGTTCTTCTTCTTTGTGCCTGTCCCTTGACATGACTCTCCACAACTTCCTATCTTTTGTAGTTCTTAGTAAGTACTGACCTTTCACTATCTCTCTCTCTCTCTCTCTCTCTCTCTCTCATTCCTTGTTCTGCCATCTATTTACACAAGCTTGTTATTTAGATTACTCCCTGATTTTTTCTGTCCCTCTTATCTTCTTTATGTCCCGTGGGTATCAAATTTTCCAAGCCCAAATGAATTATACAACAGTGGTGAGATACTAGAAGGCCTCAACAGATCAATTTCATTGCTCTAAGAAACCAGGTAAACAGATGCGAGATCCATTGGAAAATAAGTTTAATGAACTAGATAAAGAAAATTCTCCGAGTTCTGATGTACAGTGCGCGGACAGTATTAGAACTGGATATATTACAAAAACATTTTTTTTTAATGCAGTATTTATGTATCTGTCTATATTTCTGAGATGAGGTATTATGTACATTATTTACATCATTCAGTCTATTGTCCTCATCTTTGTCACCATATTTATTACAACGTTTCGGCCGTTGTACGCTCCGGCCTTCTTCAGGTGGTTGGAATGTCGAACTGAACCCTTTATTTCGCTCACTGGGGTAGACTGTTCTAGTTACACGTGCCATGTTTAATGGATGTCAGTTATCAGTTATCTCCTGTTAATTTCCCTCTGAAAGTTCTCCACTGCCTTAGACGCAGTGACTGGACCAAAAGAGTGTGAGTTCAATACCCGGTTAAGGCAGTGGAGAACATTCAGAGTCTGTTGGAAATTCTTTATGTCTCAACCTAATACACATATTTTTATATTACTTATATGTGGACTATCATTGTTGATATCACAACGTTTCGACAAGGTTTTTAGTTATGCTCTCCGGCCTCTATCCTTCGATAAGGTATTTGGTTATATATATATATATATATATATATATATATATATATATATAGTCATCCAGAGACAGATCATCAGCGTGGCTAGGTATCCGATTGCTTCAAACCGGGATCAATTTGGCGTCAGTCGGAATGACTAACCCCGGCAGCAAAAAAGGCGAATTTCTGCGTGTTTAGTTTTCATAAACACGCCAGTGAACTAGAAAACTCAATCCAGCTTGGAGAGTCTTGCATTATCAGAAGTAATAGTGAATGTTTACAAATTCGCGCTTTTCTACCCAGAGAGCTCGACCGAGTTAATTATTTTTCGCGAGCTAATATCGTTATCCACATCCAGATTATTTCGCTGTATCACAGCTCATCAGTGTAGCTAGATATCTGATCGCTTCTAGCCGGCACCGAAACCCAGCCGATTTTGCATCGGTCGGAAATTCTAACCCCTAAGCTATATATATATATATATATATATATATATATATATGAATCATTTTGTTCTTAGTTTCTGAGCATGGTCAGCACGTTATGGCCGTGTTGATAGCTGACATTAGTGAGGTTTCGCTGGTTCATTTTTATTGGAAAAGTGATGCATTATTAATAAAAATATAAGAAGCCAACTATCAATAATATCAGCTATAAACGCGTTCCGATCGTTTTCGAAAATTAAAAAAACACATTCCCATCCCTATAGATACACACACATGCGCATATATATATATATATATATATATATATATATATATATATATATATATATATACAAAATGGATAATGTTAAATAGAGATATCTGAAAGCGCTTGCACCCATAGGACAGAGAACACACATTATGTTCAGGAAATAAGATATTTGTACGAATGCAAGAGGAATTGAAGAAAAAGATATTAATCACATTGCCATGTCAGTCGGATGGCTATGCAAATGCAAAATTAAATTGCGTATATTTGACAGCATATTTTCATTATGACATGTCTCATTAAATAATTTAGAAAAGTTTTGTCTACTTACTTTTAACAGAATCGTCTGGTAATTACTGACAAGATTTTTAGTCTCCTTATTAAAGGATGAAAGAAAATTACCATGTCGATACATATTCATGTATTCCAAGTACTTTCAACATTAGCACAATATCATCATCAGGGTTTTATTTTATTATGACAAAATTGTTGTGGTTATCATTTATCTAAGACAAAATTGTTGTGTCCATCTGAAAATTAATTTTTTACATGTGAAGTGAAAAACTCTAAGGTTATGCACTGTACAATTTTAAAATTTTATCACGTGAACACACGTGCAAACGTCAAGGGAGGTAACTAATTATTGAAATGTATAAATACATTTGAAAAAGAACAAAAAACTTTTTAAATGTATTAGTATGAGCCTAGAGATTCTGAACTATATGCTGTAAACACTTGTGCAGTATTCATAATTAATTTTCAATTTCAATTTTTAATATAGGTAACTTCAAACATATTTAGTTTATGTTTATTATTTTCATGAAAAAGTATAAATGTATTTTCAACAAGAATTTTCCTAAATTGAGTATGTGGGGAGGCATGCTGTTGTAAATATTGAGAGATGTTAGATGCATCATTCAAGTGAAAACTAAACCATCGAGACAACGTAGTGGTGGTTTGGCCAACATAGATATTATTTTATCAGTTGGAGATGGCATTGCACAAGAGACATTTAAATTTATATGCAATGTTGGTTTTCTGCTACACGTTAGTTGCTGGGGAGGAGACATTACCAATGATTAAATTCTCCGTAATTACAAGAGGATCCTATTAAAAAAAAAGTAGAAAAAACTTGTCTAAATTATTCATTAGATCATGTCTTAATGAAATACAAAATTATATATATATATATATATATATATATATATATATATATATGCGTGTGTGTGTGTGTGTCTTAATGAAATATAAATTTTATATATATATATATATATATATAATTTTATTTATTTATTTTAAAAAATAAAACAGTAGACGTATACCACGATTTACTTAAATAATAAAAAATATATTTTTTGGTAATAAAATATTTTAATTTCATAGTAATAATAATATTATAAAATTAAAATATAATAACGAAAAATACAAGAATAAATAAGGACA